AATTAATTAATTAAAAATTAAAATTTTACTTAATGATTAATTAATATTTAATGAAATCATCTAACAATATCTTTGAGTTGAGACGAATGGAGGAGCAGGGAGACTATTTATTTATTTTTAATTCATTTACTTATCCAAATTGATGGGTGGTAAGGGAAGGGAAATGGAAGAAAATGGAGGGATACAACATCTTTCAATTCCATTCCCCTCCCCTCCCTTTTGTTTCCCTCAAATAAAATATATTGTAATAGCTAATTAGTAATTTATTTTAGTTAATTAAAATTTATTTTTAGTTGTAGGTCCTAAAAATAAGTTTAAGAAAAATTTTGAAGTTATTAAAAGATAAAACAGAAAAGTGAGGGACCATTTTGAATATTTAACCCTTTAGAGTTAACTGTATTAATGAGGACCTATTGGTTTCTTTTCAATTGGATCCACTCCGAGAATTTCAATGACTTAATGACCTTACTTAAGCACATTAGAACTTTGAAACCTTAATTACGGGTTTGGTGAAAGTTCGGGATCTTAGTCAATTCTTAAGCCATTCACACTAGGGGGGTGTTTGGAAACGTTAAGGGTGTATTTAATTAGAGGCCACTTTCCTTGGAAAGTTTTTATCGTAAAAGTAGTTGTAAAAATATTAAATAAAAGGTTAGAAAGTATTGTATGAAAAATTGTTAAGTTTTTGTAATGAGGTTTTGTTGAAATTTTATTTGAATTATTAATTTTGTTGTATTTAGTAAAAAAATTGATATAGAAAAATTTTAATAGAGAAAGTTGTTAAATGGATCTAATATAAAAAAAGTCATAAGGGAGTTTTTTTCTTTAAAAATAAGTATTAAGAAGACTTTAGAAATTAAGAATTATGTGAAAAAAAATAAAGTTAAAAATATTACTTTTTCCTTATTTATTGTAATTTTGAGACATGTAAGAATCAAAATATCCTTGCAAAGTCTTAGAGTGAGGTATTTCTCGGAAAAGTAAAAGGGTTAAAGCTAACTACAGTCCTTCTACTATCAACTTTCATTTATTTTCCTCCCTATACTTACAAATTGTTCAAAATCCTCCCTCTACTTTAACTTCCATTACATATACCTCCCTTTCCTGACACAACCCTAACACCATTTATAACTCCCATTAACAGAGGAATTTTTTACCATTAAGTGCAATAATTTTTTTTTTTTTTGTTGAATATGGTTTGAGGGCCCGCAAAAATCCATATTAATAACCCACAAACTCCCTTATTATTCCCTTTACCATACGAAAATCCCTAAATCTCTAAATCAAGCCAACCCATTTGAGGTTCTAGACAAATTTATCCTTAGATTGGTTTATGAACATAAAATGATATTATTTGATGTTTCTTTCATGCTCTTCAAGCTAGAAGAATTCAACGGCAATAGCTCTAATTCTAGACAGTCAGTACAAGATTCATAAGAATAGTGGCAAAAAATTAAAGCAAAAGAAATTGGCAAAGTATGCAATGTAATGTAAAACTAAGGCGACTTACAAGCAAAATTACCACCCCTTTGGCTACATCCATTGAAGTACCTTGAATATTTAAATAGGAAAATTCGTCAATAGTATGTTCACTAGATTTTTTTTTATTATGTAGTCAAGATTTAATTTTAAATCTTATATAAGTAAAAATGCTCAAATAAAATTTATTATAAGTATATTAAGAATTTCTATAATACCTATAATATACCCTTTTATGATGTAATAGTTAGAATATTAAGTTCTTATCAATTAATTAGTCAAGTAAATTAATATAAAATTAAAAAATGACAATCAAAACTCTCTCTCTCTCTCTAATTTTCTCACTACATTTTACATCATTAGAGATGAACATATTTTGTTCAATTCTAAATTATTTGATATTTAACTTCTTCTTTTTTTTTTTGGTTTGA